AAATGAATGAAATAACATCTACTTGGCTTAAATCTAATAATAAATAATGTAATTATATCTATCTGTATATATACACGATTACATATGGAATATTTTATGTATATATATATATATATATATCACATCTGATTTCGTGCAACTGGAGAGGGGCACATTAACCACTTGTGAATTTTGAAAGTTCTGTATATAAAATTTTATATTAAGCCAGGTATTTAAAATTTACTGCAAACTTCTATGTCCATTGCTTTAAAAAAAATATAGACTTTTGCAACCGGATGATTCTTTTTGTTAAACCGTCTGTTTCTAGTGATCTCAACTTTGTTAAATTGTAAAATAGGCATCACTTTCAAGACTGTCGTAATGAAGAATATACCCCAATATTTATGTGTATTTGATTTCTTAGACATTGGTAATGTTGAAAATCATTCAACTATTTTCATACACAACTGTTGGTCTCTTGAGTAGATAAGTGAGTATTAGTAAAATGTTTTTCTTTGTGTCCAAAAAAACCACTTCCTTTTCAGCCTACGCGTTTTCACAGAAAAAAGCTTTATAGGAGGTTTCTATGCTTTAATCTGCTTTGGCTAACTGCTGGTCACAATCAGCTAGTCACACTCATACACATAAACATCCACGCAACAATCACAAGTGCTCTTAATATGATCAGCACCCAATTCATTTATTTCATTTAGTATCTTATGTTCTGTTTTTCTTCTGTTCTCAGTGTGTCTGTGATGCTTTTATTTTGCATAGTTTCTGCTTGTCTCTCCCCTTCTGTTTTCTTAGCTCACACTTTTGATGCCCAAACAGCAAAGTAATCATTTGGGCATAGTCTGATTGTTGTTTTCTGCCACAGTATCGGAGTGGCTTCTCATCTTGAATGTTGTTCTGCCTCTTTGACTCCTCCCTCCCAAGGCTAGGTGAAGCATACATTTGTCTCTTTCAGAATGCTTTTCAGATATTTCACCAGCCTTTTCTTATTCAAAACATTATACTGGGCCACCCTGAATGCCGGGTATGCCATTTTACTCTGCCTGGGTTTACCATGGTTGTATGGCAGGTGTATAACAATGAATACAGGGATAATGGTAGCTGGCACAGCTGCCGGTCAAAGCCTCCTGCAGTCATGACTGATGGGACACAATTCAGCTGCGGGCAGTCTGCTGGCTCATGGCTCACCCTGCACCAGCTTTTGTTACAGCATCGGAAGCACTGCAGTAGTCATCTGTTATTAAGGATGGGTGGAAAGGGTTTCCAAGTAAATTATCATACCGCCTCAGCCTGGCAACCAGGGTTTGTTTCCCTTGAGTCCAAACATTTTTTGTTGAAATGTCTGCATGAACTGAATAAGATATGGCAGTAAGGAGGTAGTTCTGTAGCTATGGTTAAAGGAATATGACCTGTATTGATTGTTAATGCGTCACATTATCATTGTGAGCGAGACTGAACCTGAGCTTTTCAATGCGGCATTTAAATTCTATACTAAGGCCTATTTGCTGTGGGATTTCTGCATATTGGGGTATGCATGCTAGTCAAGTTTTACTGGATTTTACAAATAACATATATTCATGTAAAATATTTCTTTATCTTCATTTATTGACAAAAACATGTGACAGTAAAATGGTAAATGGCCTGTATTTATATAGCGCTTTTACTAGTCCCTAAGGACCCCAAAGCGCTTTACATATCCAGTCATCCACCCATTCACACACACATTCACGGCAAGCTACATTGTAGCCACAGCCACCCTGGGGCGCACTGACAGAGGCGAGGCTGCCGGACACTGGCGCCACCAGGCCCTCTGACCACCACCAGTAGGCAACGGGTGAAGTGTCTTGCCCAAGGACACAACGACCGAGACTGTCCGAGCCGGGGCTCGAACCGGCAACCTTCCGATTACAAGGTGAACTCCTAACTCTTGAGCCACGATCGCCCCATATGAGTTCTGCTGTCCTTTTTTATATTACAATTTGTTGACAAGTTGTTTGAATACAAATCCCAATAACACTGTGGCTATGGAGTCCCAGTGTTGCTAATCTGCTCCTTGTTAACGAAGGATCAAGATGAGGCCAAGTTAATTAGGTAAAGCAGAAATAGTAATTAGGAACGCTAAGTTGTAGTGGCAAAGAAACAGCCAGACAATTTGTAATTTGGCTGGCATAATCAGGACTAATGCATAAACCTGTTTCTCTCCTAATACATTTATCCTCTAGGATGCGGATCTCACTGGTTCAGTAAGTTCAGATATTTGTATATTAGGTAAGAACTTGTAGACTTTGTCTCATTGGGGGAAACTGTGACAAACTAAAATAGACGAATTGGTGTCTATAAAAAATTACAGTCATAAGATTTCTTCAGACAGAACGGAGCTGTGTGTGAACTACATTTGTCAGCAGCCACTCATTAGCCACTCAGTCCATGTGCCACTTCACAACCTTAGCATTGTTCTATGCTTTCAGATGGATTGTGAATTGAATCTTTTATCAGAGATGGGGGATTAATTTTTCATGTAGTGAGATCTGGGATCATGTAAAATGGTACAATTGGAGTCATACCTGATGCTAGTACATACTGTAATTTTGGGTAGCATTCGTTGCATCGGTGTAATTTAAATCCAGACGAAGGGAATGTTCATGTCATGATCCACAAAAAAATGTAAGTATGTCTGATTATGTCAGTAGCCTTCAGGGAGAAGGCTAAAGCCCTTTATATACAATCAGTAAGCTCCTTTCATTAGGAAGTGTAACTCTTACAGCTTTGTTATAATTATCCTTAAATCCTCAGGTAAAGTAGCTGGACTGATGGCAATCCCTTCACAATAGGAGTATGCTATTCCTACTTAATGTGACATTAGGTCAAGAATATGATTTTGACACTGCATTTATATACTATGATAAGCTTGCAGAGTTCCTGGATCTAATATTTTAATCCATTACTTGATTCTTCCAACACCAAAAAACCCAGTGGTTTGCTTTCTCATTCTGATATTCTGTGTCGCTGTATGAGCTAGCCGAGCTGTGGAATTAACAGAGGTGAGCATACAGATATAGTGGATGGCAGCATTGTAGAGAACAGGTTTAAAGATTCCTTCCTGATAATGTCACTATCTATTTTTCTGCCCTTGCTGCCTGCTGTAGCTTTCAGTTTGTGTGTTTGACCTCACTCAAGCAGTTACCTGCTCTGCTATGAAGCACAGGTGTGATAAGATTACATGCACATACATGCACACAAACAATAAATGGTCTGTTTGTAGTGCAGCAAATGTACCGTAATGAGTCACACTTGTTAAAGACCTCACAGTAGCTATGAGGAAATTGATTTTCAAAGTGACATTCTTCCATTCTCTCAGTGCGCAAAAGCATATAAGTGCACATAACTCTCGACGCAGTGAACCACGCCTCTCAGCCTGCATGTGGCTTCTGAATTATGCAGAAACCCCAGTGTCTGCTAAGAGGGAAAGACAAGTGAGGGTGCAAATGTAGGGGGTGATGCGGGGAGTGTGACTGGAGCTTGGGGAACACTCTGAATTGGGGCTTATTTGAAAAAAGCAGCAGGTTTCCTGAAAGATGAGATCAAGAAAGCAAGGGAGCAGTAAAGGAAGTAATCTGGGGAGAGGAGGGGGGGAATTGCCTAAAGGAAAGAAAGCTGCAGCACTCAAGCTTTAAGCAGTCTTCCTTATTCCTCTTTGTTGCTCTTTTTTAGACCTATGTTTCAGGTAAGCTTCAGACCATGTGGTGCTCCTGTGCAACAAACAGCACATGGGGATAACCCAGCCCAACTTAGCCAGCCCAAGCCTTTCATTGCTCAGCTTGCTTCAGTAGAAAGAGTTCTCTGCAGAACTGAATTATTCATGGGACTTCAGAAGAGTGCAGTGAAAATCCCCACACCCCTCACCACCACCATCACCACCATACACACTTACACAAAAAAACCTGACATGCCACATTCTTATACATGCAAGCCTTATCCATCACATCAATCCACTCCTCAACACATTGAATCACAATGTTGTTAATTTTTCTGGTTATTCATGCTCATTTTCTAATTGCAGTTTCATCTAAGAAGGAAGTTGACTTTGGGTGAATAATTGAATAGATTAAATCCCGCTAGGTTGTTTTCACTGCATTCCACCATCAGTGTCGTCGGTTTCTGTGATGGGTGGGGTCTTGCTGCTAGACACAGCTCACTGTGTGTATGTGTGTTATATAAGTCGTTGATGTAGTGGCAGTAAAAAAAAAGAAGACAAAAAAAAAAAAAATCACAGGAAAGAAACCACAACCTTGCACTAGATACAGCATGGTGCTGCCAGACTAGGAACTGAGAAATGGTGAGAGAGTAGCTACAGAAGATGCTTTTTGTGTTTGTGGGGGATCTCGGGGATGAAAAAGGGAGTGGTCGGGGTGCAGAAAAGGAGATAGATTGCAGATGTGGGGGGAGGGGACTAAGAGGGTGAGAGAGTGAGAAAGCGAGTGAAAGATGGCAGAGATCGATGACACATAACCTTTAGCCATAGCATTTTGAGGGTGTGACGATGTTAATGCCTTGGTTCATTCTCCCAGGAGCGGCTGTGCTTTGTCACCCCTCTTTCTCTTTACACGTCCTCAGTGTTCCTGGACAAATCAAAGCTAGCAAGTAAGAGGTCACATCTGATCATATTACATCTAAAAATGTATTTACAAACAAAAGATTTCGCAGAATGTTCTTACTGATTGAAAAAGACACTCATCTGAATGTTCCCACACACGTACACTTGTGACGTGTGTGCTTTGACGCACATATGGTCTAATTAGAGATGTGTATATGTCTCAGAGACTGACACTAACCTCCACCTCAACTACTCCGTATTTCCCACTATCAAAAGCATACTAGAAGCATGAATTTAAAATGTGGAGGAATGATGGGATGCTCTTCCATCTGGTAGTTTTTGTGAAGCAAATATGTTTTACAGTTATTTTTAGGGGCTTGATAGTCATCATTTCTTCATCTGTTGTTTCCTATAGGATCGTAAGCTTTCTAAAATGGAACGTCAGCGCTTTAAAGAGGAAGCAGAAATGTTGAAAGGCCTCCAGCATCCCAACATTGTCCGTTTCTACGACTTCTGGGAGTCACCGCTTAAAGGAAAGAAGTGCATTGTTTTAGTAACAGAGCTCATGACGTCAGGAACGCTAAAAACGTGAGTATGGATGTAGGCAGTTGTTTTTAATTTGCTGCTCATTTAATTATGGTCTAATAGGTTTCCCTTTCCTTCATGCAGCTATCTAAAGCGTTTCAAGGTAATGAAGCCCAAAGTGTTAAGGAGCTGGTGTAGACAGATCCTTAAAGGCCTCCACTTTCTCCACACCAGGACGCCTCCCATCATCCACAGAGATCTTAAATGTGACAACATCTTTATTACTGGACCTACAGGTTCAGTAAAGATAGGGGATTTAGGTCTGGCAACACTCAAGGCAGCTTCTTTTGCTAAGAGTGTCATAGGTAGGAGACTTTTAACATGTGACTTGACAGATTTGTGGTTTTTACAGTAAGAAGTATTAGTCATTTGTCAACTGGGCTCTCTTGTTCTCTCCATCTGCTCCTGCAGGCACTCCAGAGTTCATGGCCCCAGAGATGTATGAGGAACACTATGACGAGGCTGTGGATGTCTATGCCTTTGGCATGTGTATGCTAGAAATGGCCACCTCTGAATATCCCTATTCTGAGTGTCAGAATGCTGCTCAAATCTACCGCAAAGTTACCAGTGTGAGTCATGCTGTGCAATTATTATTATTTTTTTAATTCTTGCATTTATTTTGGATGCCTGACTGTGAAGGAGAGGGAGAGGGGCAGAGAGGGCTTATAGCATGCAACAAAGACCTTCAGCTGGAATCAAACCAGGGATGCTACAGTTATGCAGTACACTGGAACTGGTCACACAGCATGGTGTTTTACATTTACATTAATATGTTTCCACCAAAATCACCTGTTCATGGAAAACATACTTTGGTCAAAATTTCTCAGAGCTCTAATTATGCATACAAATTGAACTTCTAAATATTTAATGTTAAATTAAGATTAAGATAATGACTTGTCAAAAATGGGCTTACACTCAGGGATTTTAACAGAAACCTAGAGATCTGTCCAGTATTTAAACATTAATGAATGAATGTTAAGTAGCCCTAATAGAAATATGATGAACCATAATGACTATATGCTTGGAATAAAAGATGATATACAGGCAAAAAGAGGCTGAACTAATTGCTCATCAACTGTCACCAGTATTAAATGCAAAACCTTTAAGGTGATAAATGCACTGTTTATTAAAATTAAGAAGTTGATAGTTTCATATACTAAGACTTTTCCATATATTCATTTACCAAGTTTTCTCTGTAAAACTTGGTTTCTAAAATGTTCAGCAAGAAAGTGACTTCTTTAATGTATTAATAATTCAGTGTCATGCTTTGTGAACATGGCATAGCAAGGTTGGGATGTTTATTTTGCCATTTCAGATAATAAGTCCAGAGAATTTCTCAGAGTACAAAATCAGCACCATTTTCAGGTAGATGATTCCTCAGTGTTGAATTTCTTGGTTGAAGAGTCTAATCAGCCATATGGTGTCACTCAGGGGGTCCAAGTTTCTTTTGTTTTCTGGATGAAGCCTAAAGGCTGTATTTCTGTACATCTTCCTTTGCTAGCAAAGCATAGTGCTTTGAATACTGATTGTTTTGTTTTTTCACTTTTAAAACTTGGCAGGGTTGGAGCTGAAAAAAACAGACTCTTTCACCTGTTAGTAGCTGTTAAAGAAATCTCTCAACCTATATTAATGGTTAGGGAGCATCAGTGCAGCTCTCTATAGTTGCTATTTTTTGCATTGTATTCATATGAATGTGCCTTCCACAGTGGGATGTTAATAGAAGGCTGATCAAAGAGAAACCCTAATAGCATTATACATTGTGTGTACTCCCTGAAGAGATACAACATCCAGCTGAATAATTGGTGGAATATTAATCCAGATATATGCATATACTTTACATCTAGTTTATTTTGATGCAGAAACTTTATTTTCTCCAGTTAATTATATCACACGTTTTATATAGTCTGGCTGCACAATTAAAAAAATAACTGGGTAGATTATACCTGTAAGAAACTAAATAGAAGTGTTATGTTAAGAAAAGACAGAATTCATCCATTTTTAGAAGAACTGCTCAAAATCTATTGGGCATCAAATATATTGTTAAACCACACCAGCTGTGACAACTCAGGACCGTCTGCACAGTCAAAACAGCCGAATTTAGACCAACTGACTGTAATAGTAGTTTACAAAACAACATCTGGCTGCTCTAAAATGTGTAAATTGGAACATTCAAAGCCTTTGTATGAGAACGAGTTGGTTTTTGTGCTTTGAGCTGTACTTTTAAGAAATTTACTATGCTGCCGGAGTTTTTGTGAGGCTTCCTTTGGATGTTTTTATGCTTTGTGGGACCTGACATGAATTCAAACTGACCACTGCTGTGGTACTTTCGGCTCTCTTTTCAGAGAGCGAGTGTGTGATACTTAGAAGATAAGATTTGGGTGGAGCATCACAAAAAAGAAATTTCCATTCATGTGTTCATTTTTTTTCTCTTTTGTTATGTTTTGTCATCAACATGACATCCTTTCATGACATATCCACAATGTTTTGCTTATATTTCCCTTTGCTCAGGGAGTAAAGCCAGCCAGCTACAACAAGGTCATGGATCCTGAAATCAAGGAGATCATTGGAGAGTGCATCTGCCAAAAGAAAGAGGAACGGTGAGTGACTGTGCCCGGCGATGTCCAGCGTCCAGCCAACAGGGCCCACAAGGTGCCCTCTCGTCTTTCATGCCTTGTCTCACCTCCCCCGTTTCATTGCTGTGGCACTGACAGCTGGGCTCTCAGCAGCACTGCAGTTTCTATCCATATCTGCGGGGTGTCTTTCAATTCTGTTACATAATTAGTTCGTGTACATTGGGGCAAATAACGTTTAATTAGTTTCTTGTGGCTTTTTTTGTTTGTTTATTTATTTATTTATTTTTTAATGAATCATGATTAGGTTCAGTGATTGGTGATCTGGGAAGCACAAGTAATATGTGACCATGAATGGCTCTGTGTCACTGTTAACTTTACTGTATCTTGAACATCTTTCCACTGGAGTCAGAGCTTTTCTTTTTCTGCTTCCAGGTACACGATCAAAGATCTGTTGAATCACGCTTTTTTTGCCGAGGACACAGGTGTGAGGGTGGAGCTAGCTGAGGAGGATGATGGAAAAAAGTCCTCAATAGCTCTCAAACTGTGGGTGGAGGACCCCAAGAAGTTAAAAGGGAAATACAAGGAGAGTGGGGCCATTGAGTTTACATTTGACCTGGAGAAGGAGGTCCCTGAGGTTGTCGCACAAGAAATGGTGAGTAAATGGTTTTAGCTATACATTACAGAATTCTTTTCATACATGGAAATGTTAAATCTGAATGTTGAGTACTAGAAATGGTTTCTATTTCTTTGTCTTTTTATTTTTTTTGACACCACACTTTTATGCTTTGCATTTCTTAGAGGCTTATTGTCTTCTAGTGTTTGGTTTTATATAGTGCAGATTGCTAAGATTGATAACTTCCAGGAATATAGTACTATTCTTTTCTTTTTGTTTACATAGTTTTCTCAAGTGAACGCAATCAGATAAGGTTTCCACAGGCCCAGCAATAAAAACAAGATCCAGAAAAAAATGGACAGTTCTCATTGTGGGAGCTATGATTTTCATTACTCAAACTCTTGTTTTGTCACTTGTCTAACATTCTTTTACACCATAGAAAAAGTGCCCTAATAGGGGTATTGGAGAAAGTGTATTGGGTTATCTTCAGGTAGGGAATGTAAACATTGTCATTGTAAGCCTTTCTTCAGCCGAAGACAGACTTTGAGAGGAAAATAAGGGTAGCACACAGTAAAACTGCAGATGTCATACCTTTAGCGAGAATAACGTGGAGAAATTTTCCTGATGAAACTTCCTTCGAAACAGTGCAGTACATAGCACAACATTTTTGCATTTGTTTGTACATCACATGTAAACACTGGAGCGAAAGACGGACGTTTTGATGTAACAGACCAGACAGTTCTGTTGTGAAGAGTGAGCCAAGCAGCAGACAAAGGAAACGTTTCCCCACTGCTCTGATCCCCTTAAAATAGATTTTCTCTTCCTTCCTTTTCTTGCTCCTTCTTTTTGCCTCGTGCACTCCCCTTTTTATATGCACCCTCTCTTCCCTCACATGGCTCACTGCTAAAAATATCCTGGAAGTCATGCTCTTCCCTTTTCTCTGTCAGGTGGAGTCTGGCTTCTTCCATGAGAGTGATGCTAAGACCGTGGGAAAGTCGATCAGGGACCGTGTGGCACTGATCAAATGGAGACGAGAGCGCACAGTGTCTGCAGCGGCTGCAGAGAATCAGGGTGAAGGAGGACACGGCACCCAGATGACACCATCTCAGGGCATCTCTGCTGGGGTGCCACATGTAGGGCAGCCCCTTGTGCTGGAACCAGAAGAGCCAGAGGCAGACCAGTACAACAGGCTGCATAACCTCACAGCCAGTGCCACCTCAGTAACATGTAAGAGATTCTGTTCTCATCTACCCCGAAGCACAAGCCTAATCTTTGACTTTTTTATGAGTGGATGATTTATGTGTCTCTGCAGCAGACAGCACACTTGACAGTGGCATGGGCTCCACAGTGTACTCGGACTCCCACAGCAGCCAGCACAGTGTCCTCTACCAGTCCCTGCTCGAGCCTATTACTATGGCAACACAGCAGGTCTGTATCAGGAGCTTACACACCCTGGTGGACCATGTGCATTCAGTTTTATTTAAAAACATAGACTATTTAGAACTAGCAAACACGCACTTGACCTTGAAACTGAACACACAAACACCCACACACATGCTTTATTCACACATTTAAGAGTTGCCCATGTATTTTTCATACAGTCATTTGTCTTTGTGAACAAGTTTGTTTGTCCTCACCACATCATCATATTCTTTTTGTTATGCCCTGTTTATTTTGAGTAACATATGTTTTGCTTTTGGGTTGTTCCTCAATCAGTGCCCGAGCAGTAGCCATTTTCTGACAGATCGACCCCAGTACTGCGAACAGGGTGAAGTGTGGGAGGCAACGCTGAGCCCAGAGCTCAGGGCTCGATTGGGAGCTGAAGGCCGGAGGGGAAGTGCCCCTGTTATTGACATTCAAAGGGCAAACCACATTGCTCGACTGCATGCCCTCATTCAGTCTAAGAGATCAGTCAGTCCCAACCCAACGGTACCAGAACGGTCAGAACTCAGCTCTGCTGAGCTGCACTCAGAGTCTTATGGAGGGTTTTCCCCACAGAGTGCTATGCCAGTAATCAAAGTCTCCCCCGTCTCTTCACCTACTGACCACCGCCGACTTAGTGATATCAACATCAGATCGCCATCAGAGACATTATCACTTCCTGTGCCAACTGAACGAAGGCACTCTGACCTTAGTAGTCTTCTGAGTCTGACCTCTCATCACAACCACCATATTGCGATGCACAGGGGCTCTGCGTGCCAGGCATGTATTTCTATGCTTCATTTGAGGTCACAAGATTGGAGGCACCACTGTCATTCTGTTGTCATGCCAACGCACCAATGTCCATGTGACTTTAGACACCACCCATCACCTGGTGGAATGATGAGCACTCCTGGCTATGGACTGCTGAAGGCTTCAAGTGATTATTCCAATTTCTCACAGCTGCAGCAGTCCCTCTTTAATATAATCAGTCGCAAAGCAGCCCCTTGTCCCCCCACACCTGCCCAAGCCTCATCACTGTACTCTTCAGCTGCTCTCAGTCCAACCGGGAGTGATGGAGACTGCAGCCTAAAGAGTCAGTTCCAGATTAGCAGTCTTGTTGGGGACCACGAACCTCTCCAGGAGTGTGAAGACAGATGCTGTGCCAGAGAGCAGCAAGTTACCAGGGCTGTAGGAGTGGTAGGTCACAAGAAAAAGTTGTTTTCGCGTCCTATGATGGGGCCAAAACCTGCTTAACACATTTTCCCAGCTTGTAGATGGTTCTGCATTATTCTGCATGGAGCTGGTCTGATTAACTGCCCACTGAGTCTTGCTGCCCTCATAGGCCTCTAGAGCTAACTGTCTTCTTAGAAATCATAAGCTTGCTGCTGACGGAGAACAATGGTGCAACCTCTAACATATTACATTTCCTTCCGATCAACCTTAACCAATGCCTTTAACTACTGATCCAGATTTTAACCTTTCCTTCTCTGCTTGACTGTCCAGATGCAACAGCTGTTGAGCTTGACACTGAAAGATATCCTCTAACCAAAGGGGAAGAGGCAGCTGTCTGATTTACATCCTCTTTCTCTCCCACTTTTTCTCCCTTGTGCTCTCATTTTAGCTCACACCTGTCAAGACCTCATTGTTAAAACGTGTTTCATGAACTTATTTTTATCCCTCATCCTCTCATTATATTTTCACCCATCATGAATTAATGTAACTGGCACACGTATAAGCTTTTGTTAGATTTGATCATTGAATAGAAAATTCATTCCCAACAGATACTAACTTAAAAATATCTCATTTGATCCTTAGGCCAGTTCTGCAGGTTACCAGACTCAACAATCTGTCCAAGGTCTGTCCTCTTCCAGCTCCACAGTGCATGCACCACCACAGTACCTCCAGCCTGGACACAGCTACCCTGCTACTTTGTATGCTCCTCAGCCTTGTGCACCAACACCAGCTCCAGCCAGTCTATGTTCAGTCAACATCCAACATGCGACCAGTGCTGGTAGCTACTCACCGCCAAATGTGCAACAGGCTCAAGTTGCAGCAAGTATTGTACCATCAGCTGTGCCACAACATGTTGTACAAAGCTACCAAGCACCAGTCCAGCAACAGCAGCAAGTAACTGCAGCGAACTCTTTGACTTTTCCCTTACAAGTGCAGCAAACATCTCAGAACTCTGTGGCCCCACCTTTACAACAGGCTCAGTCTGCATCAGGATCAGTTCAGCAGCCAACTGCAGCAACCACTCTGCCAGCACAGCAGCCAACTGAAAATTGTCCTAGTGCATCTGCAGCCCCATCTATGGCACCCACAGTTCAGGGTCAACCAGTACAAGCTTCCAGCACACTGCAGCAGGCCCAAACCACAGTCAAACTGCCCAATCAGCAACATAGTCAAAACTCTGCCACACCAGCACTTTACAGTCAGCAAATATCCATTCAACAAGAGCACCAACAGTCTTTATCACAAAATGCACAGCAAAATGCTGGGAAGGCCTGTGTTCAGTCTCAACTCCAGCATGGCCAAGAAACTGTGTATGCCATGCACCAGCAAATGGCACAACATCCAACCCAACAATCACAAAGTCTTCACTGTTCGACACAGCAACAAGTGCACACTCCAAATGTCCAGCAGCACAGTCAAAAAACTATCCAAACAGCAGTTCCACAACAGAGTCAGGATGTATCCCAGTCTCAGCCCCAAACCACCGCAACTCAAGTTCTGCAGGTTCCAGCCAAACATCAGAGTTACTCAGCTGCAGGTCCACATGATGCTGCCTCTCAGAGCTATGCACATTCTGCACTTCAACAAACAGCTCCGGGTCAAAGTCAGTACCTGCCTGCCCAATCAGTCTGTCCACAGACTTACATAGCAGCTAACCAGGTACTGACTTCTCAGAGCATTTCAACCTCTTCTCAGCAAGGCCAGGCTGAACATACCACCCAACAGGTGAGCATATAGTGTAGATGGTTACTGTATAATAACTATATGAAGGTAACATATAGGGGCGATCGTGGCTCAAGAGTTGGCAGTTCGTCTTGTAACCAGTTCGAGCCTCGGTCGTTGTGTCCTTGGGCAAGACACTTCACCCGTTGCCTACTGGTGGTGGTCAGAGGGCCCGGTGGCGCCAGTGCCCGGTAGCCTCACCTCTGTCAGTGCGCCCCAGGGCAGCTGTGGCTACAATGTAGCTTGCCATCACCAGTGTGTGAATGTGTGTGTGAATGACTGAATGTAGTGTAAAGCGCTTTGGGGTCCTTAGGGACTAAGTAAAACGCTATACAAATACAGGACATTTACCATTTACCAACATAGTGCCCCGGTTTTGAATTTCTGATCACCCTCACATCTTCTTGAGTTCAGCCACTGATAGGATTTCTGGATGTCAGCCACTTCCTTTGTCTGCCGTTGGTACATACCGTACAGGGGCCTGTCCTTCCATGACGGTTCTTCTCCTTGCTCCTCTTCTTTCTCAGGTTTCTGTTGAGGTATTCACTAAGCACATGGTCATCTTCTTGATGTACTCATCCTGGACAGTGGTTCTGACATTCACCAGTCCTTGGCCAGTCTCAGGGTCTTTACAGTCTTTTCTCCATTCTTTTAATGTATCTGAGAGGTTTTCCGAAATTTAATTTAACATAGAGTAAGAGTAAGTCTGTTTTTTTTCCTAATTGTATGCTACATTAATGGAGTGGCTCAAACAGTGAGCAGCTGCTGGTGGGATATTGATTACCAGGGAAAACATATGAAGTGAAACTATGTTAAATAAATTGAAACTTCATGAGGGAAATAGTCAGATTACACTTTTGGTCATAATTTAAAAAATCACATTCTAATTCATAACATTTTGCACCCAAAGGTTTGCTTGTTTCATCCTTTTGTTCTGCATCTTGTGGTCATTCAGTGCTATAACTGTGGAGCAGGAGGAGTGATTCAGCATTAAGTTGTCTCAACAGTGATGCTCTGTGTGGGAGAGACTTTAAATGATGAAAGAAGTTGACATTTTTATTTATTACAGTGTAAATTTGATACTCTTTATATTAAAATGGCAAGTTTTGATTGGGTCAATAGGATTGGAAACATCTGTGTTTCTGGACAGTAGGTGAATGAAAATGAAAATGGTAAAATGAAAAGGCCAACAAACAGGAGTTTCCTCAGACATCAGCCAACAGAGAGATAATGGAAACCATAATGAAACAATAACAGTTGTTTTCATCTCTGTATCAGTTAGCCTTCTAAGGCTTGCTCTTGCTGTTTTGTGGTACAAATGTTCACTGAGGTGGAAGATTCAGACTGAATGCATTAATAGGGAGAGAATGGAAAATGTGAGCTATTCTAATCTGGGTCAATGAAAGGAAGTGTAGATTTTCAAAGTGAGGGATACGTCTCTGCCATCATTAAAGTCCCTCTTTTTTTGTCTCTTGTCTTTTTTGTTCTTTAGAATATCTCTGCTGGTCAGAGCATTTCACAGCTTGGACAGGGTGGACAGGGCCATGGGCAGAATGTCAGCCAGCCAGCTTCCAGTGGGCCAGCACAGGCACTCTCTGCTCAGCAGTCAACTGCTCACCAACAGCAACTCCAGCCTCTGCAGATTTCTGCTTCACTGTCACCATCACACCAACCACAGGTATTGTCAGTCTGTTATCACTGCTAATCTTACCTCCATGATACTCTCTTTTTTATAGGCTTGAAGCAAGTTCTTTTGATGCATCATCCTGCATCCTGCACACAGGAGACGTTTTTTTTTCTAGATTATTTGACTTTTTAATGTTTCTTCCTTTTTTTCCTTTTTCTTTTAGTTTCCTTCACAGTATCCCACAGTCCAGGTGATGGCAGCTGTGACTGATTCTGAATCTTCCTTCCCTCACTCTTGCACTGCTCCTCCCCCTTCAGCCTCAACCTCTCTTAATCACATCTTCCTTTCTCCTGGGCATACTGTCCCTGCGACTCCTTCTGTCTCTCCCATTTCTCCTCTGCACATTGAAAACACATTAGTTTCACCCATCTCAGTATCCCTCATACCGTCCCCGTCACATGCACTGAGTAAGATAGAGCCCACATCCCCACAACCACAACACACTGCTAGATCTGAGGTTTCTCATGCATCACCTGCATTTATATCAGCCCTAACCACCCACCCCACACACACACACACTGCCCGGTGCCAGAACACACACCCTTCCACAATTGGCAGCAGTCAGCCACTAATACAGGTAATTATGACCACTGCAGTGGAGCACAGATGTTTACCAAGAAGGTGTGAACTGGAATTTGAGCATTTGTGTGTGTTTGTTAAAGGTGGTTTTTACTCAAGGGGGTGAAACCTAAGATTGTGATTGTCTTGGGTTGTTTTTACATATTATTTGTGTCAAAAATATACTTTTTTGGAGTAGGTATGGTGAACATAATAAACGTTTATGTTTTTCACATAATTTAATCAAATATTGCATATGAAACAATGCTAAAATCTAGATATGGAGTTCATACATGGATTATGTGAAAGAAACTCTGTCGCCGAATATCTGAAATAAGTTATTTAAGGATGATAATTATGTGTCTTCTTGTTTGTATGTCATTGCAGGCTCCTCAGCAGTCCCAGGTTAGCCATCCCGAGCCTGTTCCCTGTGCTCAGTCAGTCCAGCCATCTCAGCTCAAACAAGCTGCAGTCTTTTCTTCACATGTGCAGAATGGGGCAGAACTGGGAACAGCCTCTGCGGCTGCCCAGCTGGACAGTGTGAGCCCATGCCAGCTCCCCCCACAGGCCCAGCCCCAGAGTCAGGTTCAAAGCCAAATTCCTGTGCTGCAGTCTGCAGACTCCCAGAGAGCATCATCTGGGTCTGCCAGTTCCTGTTGGACTCAGCAGAAGCAACTGAGTAATGTCACAGGAGCTGCAGGTCAGGGTCCATCAGAGATTAACATGGAGGTATGGACTCATTTACATTTACTTGAACACTTCAAGTTCTCACTAATTATTTCTCCCTGTTAGTTTGGTTAACAGCAATACCGGCATAGTGCCGTGAGGCATCCCTGTGCGTCTTTTCAAGACATAAAATAGAAAGTAAAGGATTTCATATTCACCGTTATCCCATTATTTTTCTCTTCTTGTTTAACGCTGACTTTTGTTGTCGTTAGGACCAAGCTGCAGAGAAACACACAGGAGGACAGAGCTATGACAGGTACTAGCTTATTTCTTCTCAGCCATATTTGCTAGTTGCAGGTTCTCAACAATGTGTATTTTGCACATGTGCAATTGTGCCCGGCCTCCTGCACCCTCAGGGTAGGTGGTACACCTCTCACTGTTGTTATACAGAATCTCTACCAAAAAATTAAAAGCATGATGATGAAAAATGATGCCTGGCAAGAACCTGCACAGGTTGGCAACATTGCATCTGTTTTGTTTTCATTTTAATGCGGCATAAACAATTTTTCATGAGGTATAGATAACTGACCTGATAAGTATAAATAATGGAACAACTAGCAACTATTTTTTTGTCTTAAAGTTGTCATTTACTACTACTTCTTATTTTATTTGTTGTCCTGTAAACCTTGTTGACCACCCTAACTTTGTGTGTAGATGGAGTGCAACATTGTGTTTGGTCAACACTGCCAGTTGACCAGGAGACAGATAAACATATCTGAACACTCATGCCACTCTTGCTGGTCATAGTGACATGAATGAAAGCATTTTAATAGTACTTGCATAACAGATATCATGTATCAGACATTTTAAATCCTGCAGGCATTCCATAGCTGTGATAAACTTCACAAAACCTTTTCACCGAGTTTTAAAAACACAAGAGGAGGCAAAGACCAGTACAATATTCTCAATACAAGATTTCAGTTGCAAACAGAAGGCTCTGTGGTAATAGAGCTCTTGTATTTTCAGATTTAAGTAGGTTATTCGTGATTGTCTATCACACATCTTATCAACTGAATCTGTCTTTGTCAGCCCCCCTACATTTGTGTGGACATACTGGTTAGACAGGTTTGGACAGGTTTGTGCATACTTGTTGTTTTGAAGGTTGTTATGTGTTGAGTACTAGAGTAATAGAGTAAAAAGAAGTGCTGGGTATTCGGTTTTTATTGATTAATAGTGGTTTTTAGTGAATATGGATTTGTATAACTGCCTGTCTTTCCCCAAACCAGTGTCAACTCCGATGCCACGTCAGGAAAGGAGATGAGTGATGGTTATGAAGGGACACATGGAGGTAGATGCGATGGGAAAGTCCGCAAACACCACCGCAGGTCCTCACGCACTCGTTCTCGGCAAGAAAAGCTCAGCAGACCAAAGCTTAGCATGCTGAATGTGGGTAACCAAAAGAAAGACTTTTCCTTAAGTGCTTCTCAAAAAAATGCAACATAAGACAATAATTTTATTGCATTTGCTCCTGTTGCAGGTGTGTAACACTGGGGATAAAATGGTCGAGTGTCAGCTGGAGACTCATAACCATAAAATGGTCACTTTCAAATTTGACCTGGATGGAGATGCACCAGAAGAGATTGCTACATACATGGTATGTTGGAGGTGAAGGCGAAGTCAGCTGAGTTAATGCAAAGGGCTTTTGAAGTGTTTTGCAAGCTGTTCATGGACTGTTTGCTGTCCTTACCTGCAATGCAGCAAAAATCTGTTGTTTTGTCTCTTTCCCTTTTCCTAGGTCATTCATATTGGGCATATTTACAGATGGATAGATATGGGAACAGATGCATAAGCAGTACATTAACATAATGCCTACTAATTTATAATGTAAAAAAAATAGTAGAAGGTGAATATCTACTTGTGAATGCTACTGCTAGCAAAAATACTTTAAAATGTAAAAGCAAAATGAAATAGTCGTTGTAGTCATTGAATTTTCTTATATCATACAATAATAATACACTGCAGATAATATTTGATCTTGGCATAAAATGACATTAGGTTAATGTATCAGAAGGCTATAAATTATTTATTTTGTTTCTCATGTTTGCCTTCTGAATGTACTTTTACGTCTCTTGTTCCCAGCACAGTCATAAACACTTTACTTTAAGCATTGCTTGTTAAGCTAAAACCTTTAATGTTGCACTGTGTTTTTGTTTTGTTTTTTTCAGGTGGAGAACGATTTTATTCTACCTTTAGAAAAAGAGGTCTTCATTGAGCAGCTGAAGGACATCGTAGACAAGGCTGAGGACATGCTGAGTGAGGACACTGAGGGTGAGAGGAACTCAGACCAGGGAGGCAGCCCCAAACAGAGTGAAGGACCTGGCACACTGGGAACAGAGGTGAGAAACGCACTGTTGACAGTTAATAGATGAAATGGTGCAATCTGTCTACGAGTGCCTCCGCCTCAGATGCATCATCCAGGCAGCACTCTCAAGATGACTTTGCACTGCTGCCAAAAATACCAGCCTTGCTGATGCTACATTTTGATCTAACTGAATTTATTCTGAGGTTCAGCTTTTTTAGCTCTTTAGGGGAAGCCTTTTAAATGTACATTAGACTGATGCACATGCTTTAGCACTGGTTGGTAATCTTTCTTTTCCTTTAAAGGCTTCATCTCCCAGCACCCCACAGCTAGTGTACCAACAAAATGGTAAGGCTTTTTACCAGCCAGCATCTCATCTGTTAATATTATGATGTCACTTTGAACAAGGCTCATTTGATTATATACTTTGCACTTTGTTACTGTTTGTTATGAATGCCTTTTCAGTCATACTTAATTTTATCATAAATGACAAATTATACAGGGTGCTATTGTTGAAAGCATAATCGTCTGGAATGCCTTGAAGCTACCATCGTTGTGATTTGGTGCTATATAAATAAAATTGAATTGAATGCAGTTGTGCTGAAAATGATCTGTAATGGTGTGATTTTTAAATTCTGGGAATATAGATGTGGATGCTTGAGTTTTTCTGTTTGCCCTTCACAGTCCTGCACACTGGTAAGCGTTGGTTTATAATCTGCCCCGTGGCTGAGACTCCCATGCACGACAAAGAGAATACATCACACGCCCAGGGTAAGCCCACACTCCATTATTAATTTATAATGTCTTCTGATTTACTTCTTGTTAAACAAAGAATCTTTTATATGAAGAGTTGTTTTACATACTAGTTGGAGTATATTTTCTAGAAAATGAAATCTGCAGCTTTCCTTTCTTTGCTTTTCTCTGCTGCTGCTGCTGTTGTTACTGAAGACGGTGCACATGCATTAGAGTCTATCTGTGTTGGTTCTTCCGTTGGGGTCAGTTATATAAGAGTGCGTCTGCAGTGGTTTTAGGCAAAAGAAGAAAAAAAATGAAGGGCAGGATTTATACTCCAACTGACAGAGCCTGATGGGGGAAGACGAACAATGATGTAACACTTTGGCACTCACAGGAGCTAGCTCCTTTCTTAGCCTTGGCTGTTTACATATCAATCTGTTCTCCTGCTAATTAACTGTCATCTCTTTATTTTTCCAGAATCTGAAAAGTCTGGCTCATCGTCAGTCGGGGCCAACGGCAACACAGCTGCAGTGCCTACTCAGGTCGTCTCTTTGTCCTCCCAAAACCCGTCCTCATCTTCCTCACTGACCACCGCAGCTCAAACCTCGGTCCAGCCTCCGGACCAAATCACTAGCAAAGCCCACATCCAGCAGACCCAGCCCGGTGTTACTAAACATGCCCTAGGTTCTAGTGCCGCCAACCATCGCAGCTCACTTTCTGTGGAAGAACCTTGCATCTCTGCTGTTTCTATGGTTACTGATATGCCATGCTGCGCTATTGTGCCCCCTGTCTCGCTGGATGTAAATGGCATTGAGAAAGGAACACCTGGTGGTTTGGTTTCATCTCAGACTAATCAACCAATCCAGAAGGCCAGCCCTACTGGAGAAGCTCCTCCTCAGCTGACTTCCCTTCAGTCTGTGGTCATGCAGCAACCTTATGCAACGCCCATGCAGCCTGGGACTGTGACCTCACAGCCTCAAAGTCCTGCACATCAGAACTCCCAGTCTTCAAGCCATCAGCAGTGTGTGGGGCCAGGCGAGTCAGACAGTGAGGGGCCACGCAGGGTGGAGTTTGTTGACCGCACTATCAAGACTTTGGATGAGAAGCTGAGAAACCTGTTATACCAAGAGCATGCTCCTTCCCAGCCCTCGAGCCTTACATCTGAAACCCAGGCATCCAGCACAGAGGGGGTCAGCTCCCCTCCAGTCTCAGATGGCCAAAGCACTGAAGGAGCACTTACAAAGAAGAAGGGGGAACCTCTGGTAAAATGCACTGTGTTTGTTAGTAAAAGGGAGAAATGTGAGCAACCAGACTTTGGTTAAAAGCTGCATGGTATATAAATAGCAGCAACAGTGGATCGATTCTTTGCTCTGTGTTATTGATTTGACTATTATCTATAAAGAGCAAGGTAAATACTGTGTTTCGAAAGAAGCGAGAGTAACTAAGTTACTCCTTTCATAACAATGATTCAGCCTGACCTCCCTTATATTTGTGTACATGCATGCCAGCAGAAACACATCAGGTTCTGACTCAGACAACACTGAGGTCAGGAAAGGATAACAGCTAGCCTTAATGCACCAACCCTGTGTATGTCATGTTTTAACACTTGTCACTATGCACATCATTGTGACCTGTCCAACACACACTCTTCTCGCTTTCTGTCTTAGCCTCAGATTCCTGAGCGCACGGATGATGTGGGTACATTAAGTGACTCTGCAGTGCCAGGTAGGTAACATTTATTTGGGTAATATCCATGTCACTTTGTTACTGCATAATGTTTTGCAGATAGCTTTGTTTTGAAAACAAAAATCTCCTTACTGGTCTTTTAGGTACTAACAGGGGTTTAAAAAGAAGTGATGTGCCTGCCAGCTCTGGTGCACATGGCTACAAAAGCCGTTTTCAAGTAAGACCCTGCTTTCAAACTTTCAGTGAGCAAATCAGCTCAATGTAAATGTCATTTGCCCTAATAAAATTGCATTACAGGTCATGGCTTATGCCAGTGTTTATCTGAGTTCCAGTGTTTGTAGCTTTAATATTGCATTAGTTGTTTATGGGCCCTAATTTTGTTATGAACATGGGTTTCCCATTATTGCAGATCATCCCAACTCCGCCGGATGTTATTTGTCGCTTGGAAAAAAGCAAGACAAGCTGCAGCTCCTGCAGTTCCCCAGCTCCTTCTAGTGGTTCTGGTGGGTCTTACAGCCAGGCTCAGAGCATGAACAAGAAAGAGAGAGGATGTGTGGCTATGAGCAGGTCATCAGTGAAACCTCGAGATGAAGATGAGAATGCAGAAACATCTAAATCTCACCGCAGTAGCCGTTACTCTGCTCCGCCAAACTTCTACCAGGCTACACCTTCTTCTAGTCCTGACAGCACCCCATGCCACATTCCCCGGGCCCAGACTATTGACGCTTCAGCACATCACCACTATCGCTTCCCCTCTCACCTCTGCTCTGACTCAGCAGATGAGGACAGCAGCAGCGTAGCTCTTCCTCCTGCACATCCAGCTCCTCCGGCTCATACCCTGTCTGAGCACAGTGGAAGTGACCTCATGAAGAGGGCAGTCGCCTTCCTGCGGCGCTCTGGGCGAAGCAAAAGTGAACAGAGCTCTGATTCACCGAGCCGACAGCCCGTGTCAATGAATGGTCACACTCCTTCGCCTTCAGCAGGACATGCACCCTCATCCTACGTCAGCAGTGACAATGACTCTGAGTTTGAGGATGCAGATATGAGAAAAGAACTACAGAAACTTAGAGAAAAGTAAGTTTTAGCTGTGGTTGACTACATGCTTACAGTCAAACACAGCTACACTAATGTGCCTGTTTTATTAATCTTTTTTTTTTAATTAGCTGGTGTTTAAAAACTTTTTTAAGTACAATACAGTTCCTGTGTATTCACTCTAATTGTTTCACTGCTCTAATTACATAACCGTTTCAGTTTATTGAAGCTGCTTCACACTAGTCTGATTGTCTAACTGTCATAATTAGTTATATTAAAAAAAGAGACTATTTGGGAATATGGCTGAATTATAGTCACCATTCTCTGGAGCCTATGTTCAAGTATATCCCTCTGCATGGTAATCAGAAGTAGGTATGACGTAATGCTTGCATTTAACAGAAAACCTTAATAGATATTTTACAGGATGTGTCTTGGCTGAAAATGGGTATTTTTGTATGTTTAATATGCATGTAACAGTGATAGTTAAGGCAAAGAGACTGTTAAATTACACAAAGAATGAACTTAGTGAAAATGACACCCCTGGTGACTTTATTTTGGTGGAGTCCTGTGAAAAAGTATACCCAATGATTCAGGAGATTATAAAACCACCTTTAATTGAATTATTTTAAGTTAAGAATTGCTTTTTTATGATCAATTACCAACATATAAAATCATGCTAATACTGACTTTTAACAATGCAGAGTACAGGAGATGGATAATAATGTGTGAGGGAACTTTTGAAATGATGTTTGTTTGTTTGTTTTTTTTGTTTTAAGATGGTTACTAAATATTTTCTCCTTGAATCTACCTTTAAGACACATGAAGGAGATCTCAGAGCTGCAGGCATTTCAGAGGAGTGAGATTGAACGTCTGTACAAGGAGTTGGGAAAAACTCTGCCCCCCAATGTCAGCCTGCTTCATGCTGCACCTCCAAGTGGCCGTAGGCGCAAAGCCAGCAAACACAAGCTAAAGGCTGGAAAACTGCTCAATCCAATGGTGCAGCAGCTCAAAAACAATCTTAATACAACCAGTGCTGACAGAAAAGGTATGTGGGTTGGGAACGTGGGGTGATGAGTGGCTATGTATCCATGTGATGTGATGATTTGTGTGTATGGGAGAGTGTTTGCAGCCTGTGGAGAACACAGGAATGACACCAGGTTCAGAAAACTCGTAGGAGTGTGTGATTCATTCTGACTCACACTTTACTTATTTTATTTATTTATTTTCTCTTTGTGCCAAGGTGAGAGTGCTGCCAGCTCGTCCGGCTCCCCGGCTAAAAGTTCAGTTCTATCAGATGGCTCAGCCCACTCCAGCGGCTGCTCCAGCTCCAGCAATCAGCCGAGCACTGCCCCAGAGCATGTCCACACCCAGCAGCCCTGTTCTTTGAAGGGTTCTTTCTCCTCAGACAACATCTACGCTGGACTACATGGTGATGGAAATCCCAACCATGCTGGCCCTGGTCAAGGTACATATTATAGGTTCATGGGTTTGTGTGTGTGCAGTTTGTGTGTGGTCATGCAGATGGACATGCATTCAGCCATTATACACATTTTTAACAACTGTTAATGGTGCCCCTGGGTAGCATTTTTGCTAACTGGAGGATGGAGAACCACCTCATTTTTACCAGCTTCAAACTTCATACTGTGTGTACTATAGGATTATTGACAGCACCACATTCTGCATATTCACAAATACACGATTTTATTGTTAAATTTATGCCATTTTTTTTTTCAAGTTGAGAAACAAAAGTGGACTGTGCTATAAATAATTGTGTCCTAGCAGGAACAATACTTGTGTACTAATATTGAACTTTTGAGCTCATAAATTCCCTGATAATTGTCTGAAAGCTGGGGATGTTTGAGTTTTTATGCAGTTCATACCAAGAACAAAAACAAAAGAAATCTGGACACTGGTTCTATTAATCTGCTACATTCTGCAGAGGATGAAGATTTGAACATTTGAATTTCCATGTTATTTACTTGAAAACTCAAAACAACTAGTACTAGATAATTAGCTTTTTGCTAACAGTGTTTAGAGTGAAATGAGAAATGTGAAGGGAAATAATTTTAGTGACTGTAAAATGTTATTTGAAGCTGGGTGATTTCTGTCTTTCAAACATTGCTATTTAATTATTTTTTTTTTTTTAGGTTTCATATTAAATTCAGCGTATTCCAAGGTATAGACACTATAATCCCATAAATACATAAAATAGGCATAACAATACACAAACCCTCCACTTTATATTTACCTGATGATTATATATTTTTTAGGACCCATAATAAAAGTGTATAATCTGTACTTTAGTGTAAATGAAAGTGACAACAGGCGCACTGGAGAGACAACATGGTTTTACAGGTGTGGCCACAGACCATTGCTCTTTCCTTATCCTTCCTGTCTGATTATTTTCCTTATTTAGCTTTTTGCTAGTGCCCTTATCATTGCTGGTACGTGAAAAGGTGCACAGGTAGTCCAGCTCCTCCAGGATGGCACTATCCATATTTATTTTTCAAAACGGTTGGCTGTGTCTCCCATACCACGAGAATGGGCCGTTGCTTGTGTCTTTCACATCTGCTACATGTTGTCTGTGTGAAGCTGCTCTCATTTCTAAAGAGAATGGGACGCCAGTTCTGGTGTTCTTAGGTGAATGCCAGTCAAACTGCTGAGTTCTGGTTTGTGAGCACAGGTCTCCCTGAAGGATGTTGGCCGTTCATGCCACCTTCATGGAGTCTGTTTCTGGCACTTTGGTCAGAAATATGAGCATGAGTAGAATGCTGAAGGTCATTTTGTTGAGCTCTGGCAGTGCTCCTCAAGGTCCTCCTTTCACAAATGAGCAGATACAGGTTCTGCAGCTGGGGTGAAACCCTTTTGCAGCCATGTCCAGCTCTTGTTGTGTAATGTCTCATCTCTTGGTACTTCCTTGAGACTGTCCTGGAGACACACCAAACCTTCTTGTGACAGCACATATAGATATACTGTCCTGGAGGAGCAACGTGTGCAACTCGAATAGGCTGGATTGGAATTACTCCCAGCAGTGACAAAGACACTAGCAAAAAGCAAAGCAGAGAAAAATCAGCCAGGAGAGAGCACTGGTCTGTGACCATCAGCTTGGCACCTGCCACTGCAGAGCCAAAGTTTCATTTACACCAAAACAGGTAAAATGGATTCACAATGGTTTGTTTCCTAACTGGACAGACCGATATCTCTGAAGTTTAATTGACTTTGTGTTACACTGTGATGATTGAGTGTTCCCTTAAATGTTTTGAGGAGTGCAAGATATAGGCAGCCAATTTGAATTATCATCAGAGAGTCAAAATAGTCTCATTCATCACCAGATACTATGGTTGGATCCTGCATATCATGCTCTGTCCTTTTCTGGTGCTTTTAATGGTGGGGATTTCTCATCCCAGTCTCTGTGCACTTTTACATAGTGTCTTTCTTGTTTCTTCTCTTCTTCCCTCTTATATTCATTTTTGCAGGCTGGACGGTTTACCACCAAACGTCAGAGAGAGTCACCTATAAATCTAGTAGCAAACCACGCACTAGATTCCTCAGTGGACCTGTGTCTCTGTCCATCTGTTTGTATTTGTTCTTTTATATTTCCCCTCACTCATTTCCATATTCTCTTTATTTATCTGCCTCTCTCTCCTATCAAACTATTTTTTATTTGTGTGGAATATAGTGGATATTTTATTTCACCATCCCTGCAGGTCTTCTCACCAGACATACACCCATTGTTTATTCCTACCACCCACACTTCTCAACAACCTTAAAACTTGTTTTCTGTATATTTTCTAATTTATTTTATTTATTTTGTTGGCCGGAACAAAAAAACAGATGATATATATTGACACATTAGCATGATACTGTTGTGATAAACTTAAAATTGGATATATCTGACTAATACAGATGAAAGATTTAGGCAGCCATGAAATGTTTCTTGCCATAAAAACATACTGTACAGTGAAGCAGGTCAGTAGGGCTGTGCGATATGACCAAAATCTCATATCCCGATATAAGAATTCTGTCGTCCGATAACGATATAAATCACAAAAATGTAACATTTTCTGTAAATTCTGTGAATCTCGGGCAGCTCGACTTGCGGGAAGTGTTTCCAGCTGCGCGTCATGTAGCTGGAGTCCAGCGTTTTAACCGATTCATGAAACGATACATTTTTAGACTTACATTTTAACAGCCGCCGTTTTTTTGTGAGTATTTATTACACGGCGTGCTGCGGGGAAAAGCCTGTTCTAACATTTAAGTCTAAGGTTTATTTTTTAGCACCTGGCGGCTCTTTTTTTTTTACTTCTCATCGTAAATAATCTGCTCTTTCACGTGATTCAGTTTATTTTGAAAAGTCTCAACAGGATCTTGAGCTTTATTGTGAAAGGTTTATGTGGTACATAAACAAGCGAACGCGCGATGGTGTTACCGTTGTTGTTGCTAACCACAACGCATAAAAACAGGCGCTTGTCCGTCCGTAGTGTGGTTATATTAAATATAAGAGAAAGAGAGAACTTTAAGAAATTAATTTAGCAACTAAAGTGACCATCAAAACGGAGAAAAAAATATTGCCGTAAACAGTTTATTTTGCGACACCACGAAACAAACGATAGCGTAAAATGAAACGATAGACGTTTTTATATCGTCATCCGATATATATCGTTATATCGATCAGCCCTACAGGTCAGTCTGTGTACTGTTTGTTTTATAGCATGTGACTTTGCTGAAAGTCTGCGAATGTGTTAGGGCTTTTACCCCTCAGCCATAAAAGACTGACATCGTCAAACCTGGTGGGTGGTATGGACATCCAAGTCTGTGAGCACGATAGCTCAAAAATGAGCTAGTTTTAAACTTATGCCATATGTGCATCTACTAGGAGGCTGAGCTGTAGCACTGGCCGGCACCCGTGCTTTTAAAGCTTGTAATTGGTACAAAAGTGTGACATTTACAGATAGATACAGTCTCTGCTGTTTTCTAGACTTGTTTGTGTTTGTAAGTCAGCATTTATGGCTTCTTCTAATAAAACCCTTATTGTCTATAATATAATTTAAAACACAATCACACCCGAGTTAGAATGTATTTACTAAGCAAAATCTACTACTAGCATTATAAAATCACTCTTCTTCTGTGATTTAGTTTACTTGAAGACAGTGATTTAATTAAAGTGACTTGATTACAGCAGCTATATATAGAAGTGGGAATTACCTAACTCTGGGGGATCTCAGAGAAAAATATAGACATTTCAATTCATTCATTCGTGCAGGGTGACCTTTCTTTCCTGGCTGTGTTGTATATTTTCAGCTTGAATTAAAGCCTTTTTTGATATTTTTCTGAAGAAGTGCAGCATGACTCAGACGTGTGGCTCTTTGTGCGGGTGTTGAGATCTGCAGGTCCAAATTGCTGAAAATAATTTCTGTGCACTGAAGTAGAGCGTAATTTCTATGCAGTCAGTTTTTCCAGTGTTTCATTTGCACAGAGGAATATTTTCCAGATAGAAAGAGAGCTGTGAAACAACATGTAATTGTTATCAACCATCTTACCAACCCAGTGCTGTACTGTGAGCTGTATTTAGTCAGTGGGAGAAAGGAAGTAGAACAAGGAGTAGCTATATTTCTATGAATTCAGTGTCCCTGAGGACCCAGATTGCATCCAGTTGACCTTAAGATTGAAAAGGAAACATTTCTAGGGTGTGCTGCCTCTTATATTCAAAATCCAGGCTGCAATAACTTTAATGTTGTAGGTACCTATGTCAGTTTACAGTCTTTCCTCTGGCAATCATCCATAATTCACAGAACTGCAGTTACATTCATAATTATTAATTTATAATTATATTACCCCCTGCTCTTCATACAGTTGCTTTGTGCAGTGCTTCTGGCTTTCAAAAATAGACCCCACAAGCACGCTGGAGCTTGTGAATGCCTAGTCCTGTCCAAACATGGGCCTAATACAAGATGGTGTGAGTGTGTTTGTGTATGTGTGTGCATCTGAGAGAGAATGGCAAACTCTTTATACCCTATTTATTTGTTGTGTGTTTCCATCCACAGTTAATTTTGATTGTGTAACACCCCCTCCCACACACACACATACAGATGAGTCGAGGCACTAAGTCTGCCATCCTGTGTATACTAACACAGAGAAAAAAAACCCAACCCTTCCCTAATAGGCAGGGCCCTATGCTTTGATTGAGGAAAGCTCTCTCTGTCCCTCATGTTTGGATGGAGAAGACGTGCATGGTGCAGGCGCCAGGCAGGGCACTGATGGAGACTTGCTCCGCCATATGAAGGGCTGTATCATCAATATTATTATGGTTTTGTTCTTTCACCTCTCCTGAGTTACCTGCATGTTTGGATTTTTGGTTTTTTTTCTTTTTAATTGCTGACTCTGATGAGTTCCAGCTTTTATCTATGTGCTTTCAGTTGGTTAAATTTTATTTGTTTTGGTTTCATGTTTTGTTTCACAGGCATTCTCACATCGACAAAGGGATCTTTTTGCTTCCCTTTAAATCCAGGCTCCAATATTCTTTCCCAGAAAACACAATGTTACACATTTTGTAGTTTCTCCCTACCAGTTAATGAAACAGTAAATCATCCGTTATTCCAATGATCAAACAAAAAGTACAAATTTATACGATAGTAGCTGCATTTTTCCAAATTTCTGTCCAATATTTTTTGATATATTCCATATTAAATATAATCATGAAAAGGTCAATAAATGTGCAGGAACAAACATGCAACATGACACGTAAAGGCAAGTTGTGATTTCTTTTAGGCTTGTACACTTTCTAAACATCAGCTCTTCAAATGATATTAAAGACAACACCTAGATTTGCTCCTCTAGTCCTCCTCACTGATTTTTACACCCCTCTTCCTCCTTTTCCTCTTTCTCTCTCCTCAGTTGTTTTGATAGCTGAATGTGCTTTTGAAGCAGCTTGTCCACCTACTTGTGGTGTGCAGTGTGTCCTGGCCTAACTGTTTCTGTCTTGTGCTGTTTTACCTTTTTATAGGGTCCACTCTGAAACGACTATGTCTAGGCAAAGAACGCAGTAGTAGTAACTATCTCATTTACTTTCTTATTCTCTGTCTTTTCTATTCGTCCTCACTATTTTAGTCCTTTTTTTCTCTGAAATTAATTTGGCACTTGAAAATGTCTCCGTTGTTTAAACGTGGGTACTCAACAGATTGTTGCATTAATTTGTTTCATGTTTTGCATGGCAGTGTGCCTACATGTCTTGGTTGCTGGATTTTGTCACTGCTTGCATATCAAACATTTCATTTTTATTTAATTGTTCATGAAAGACATGTATGTTGTAATCCTTTGGCTGCTGGCAAAATATGTGTCACAACTTTACCTGTACACTCATTTTGCTTTAGCCTCGCCAGAATGATGAGGATTATTTAAACGTGGCTTTCATGAAAGGTCACATTACAGGGTTTTTTTGGATTTTTTTGTGAAACTGTCCTTAATTCTGCCATACAGCAGCCAATTGATTTGACAGCTGTTTTTTGTTGTTGTTGTTGTTGTTGTTTGTTTTTTTGCTTTGTTTTGTTTTTTAACTAGGCAGATTTTAAGACCTTTGTGTCTTTTCAGGGTCCTCTCTCAACACCACCACTGCTCAGACAGCCTCCAGTCAGACTCAGCCATCACTCTCTGCAGCAACATCCTCGCCCTCTCCTCAGCCATTCACACGTCTCGCTCAGGTCCAGACCAACAACAGCAACAACAAGAGAGGCACGTTTACTGATGATCTTCACAAACTGGTTGATGACTGGACAAAGGAAACTGTAGCAGCGGCCAGTCAAGCACGACCTTCCCTGAACCAGATGAAACAGCAGAGGCGTCGGCAAGACCTGGAAGGCGGTGCAGCACCGATGGGAGCAGTTACTCGTGAGGTATTTGGAACAGAGAGTGACTGAGAGTTTAGGAGCTGTACTTCATCATTCTTAATGTAAGCATGAGTCAGCCTGAGTCTGTGCACATATTTTGTCCCCTCTGTTCCAGATGAAATGTCATAATGGTCCCGGCAAGTTCCAGCTGCCTCTTTCATGCCCCCCGACTGCTGCTTTAGGCCCTCGTATACCTGCAACCCTATCGTCAAACTCATCCACAGCGCCCTCTCCTGGTTACCTCATTCCCGCAGGCTCCTATGCTGGGATGGTTCCCGGTCCTCTTTATCCCCAGAGATGGCCCAGCTTGCCCAGTCCTGTAGGGTCTGTGGTCCCCTTAGGCTTGCTTGGTGCAGCAAGAATGATGCCCTATGGCACAATGGCAAACCCACAGATTCAAGCTTACCCTCTGGTCATCCACAGTCCCGAGAATGGCCCGTGTCCAAAAACCACAAGGACTACTTGATCTGCTTACCAAAATTTATTAGTGTGTATTTGCAAGACAGTCCAGCTCCACTCTGCTCTGTTCAGAGCAACACATGTACATAATCCCATCATGTAAATACCATGAGAAAAGTGTTGATTCTTCATGCAACACTAATCTGTAGTAAATTGTGTGTGTGAGTGTAGATATGTGTGTATATTATACAATACATGTTAAGTAAGTATGTTTGAATACTTTTTTGGCTTTAGTCATGACTCAGCCATACTAGTCATTTTATGTGTGGTCACAACATCCATATTTCATTTTATTCTTCAATTCTGCAATTTTCTTGTTGCTTTTGCCTTTCTGGGTTAAGTACACTTTAAACACTACATTGTAATCCAAATATCAGTGGTTTGAGATACAATAATAGGACAGTATGATGAATCTATTGGAAAGAATGTAGTGCCTTGAACATTAATTTATATAAATTTTTTATTCTTGGAAAAAAGAAAAAAAACACAAGTCTGCATCCAAGTTATTTTATTTTAATGTAGCTTGAATGCAGTCTTGAGTTTTTAATACATTGCAATTTTTATTTTTATCTTTTTTTGGTTTACATATGAATGCCCTTCTGTTACTGCACTGTCATCACAGTATGTAGTTTTATTTAAATAACAGAATCGTGTTTTAACTCTTGTTTACTTTCCACCCCTGTGACAGATGGAATGCCATAGCGGTGAGACGTACTGATGCCTTGCAGAAACAAACGGTTAATGTACGACTGATGAGGGAAGGGAGAAAAAAAAAAATGCCAGCAGCCAAAATCCACTCATTCAGGTCAAAATGGTTCAGCAGGACACGGCCTCCTTTTGATAGGATAGCTGATACATTAGACAGCACAAGAGCTGGCAGTGTTGTAGCTTTGTGCTCAAAGGAAAGGCGGTGTCCAGAGCCATACATACTGTACATAGTTCTTTCTACAGTATATGCCTCCGGAAGTGTTCTGATCAGAATGTAGCGATTAATATGTGAAGGCTTGAGGCTCAAAAGTGCAATTTAAACCCCTCAACAAAGCTTTGATCGTGGCCTTGCCACAAGCCTTATCTCTAATGTGTGCAACAGGAGCAAGCTAAAAAGTTGAACAAACGTCGCAAATCACCAAGCACCAGACAGAAGACAGAAGTTACCGGGCAAAGTATAAAGATTACAATCCACGCAGCAAACTGAATTCACTTCCAGTAAATGTTCTTTCAACTTTGCTAGTACTCAGCGTACACTGTATGTAAAATGTTCTGTGCAATCACAAGTTAGCTCTGATGTTTTCAACCTATTTGATGTTTGATGCTTTTCTTTTTCTTTTGGTGATGCTGCTATCATCTGTTAAGGTGATCCTACTGTATAGTTAGGCTTTCTGTTCACATACAATGACACTATAATAAACAAGACTCCTCAGATTAACAAATGGGACACTCATGAAGCAGTGTTATTGCCTTGTTGAAATTTTGTTCATTTCACACGTTGCTTTTGATGTCTGCTCTGTTTTCCAGTTTCTTTCCAGTGATATATTTCAAAATGCAAACGACACTCGATGTGGGAGATTTGCACAACACATATTCTCCTTTTATTCTGCGTTAAAAGAGTTCCTACACTGTATATAAGTGGGTTTCACCCATCTGTACTTTTATATCACTGACGAGCATGGCCAACTTTTCATGTTCCACAAAGCTTAACAGTTACTGCTATTATGGTTAGAAATTTCACATCTTCACAGCACATTTGAAAGATTTCAGCACCCCCAATCTTGCCAAGCTGTGAATTTTACAGTTTTCTTGTTTTGTACATTTTGTTTTTCTGTTTTTGTGTTTTTTTTGGTTGTTGTTTTTTGGATGAAAATGATATTGATGGTGGTGGTGGTATTGGATGAGGAGGAGGGGTTGCTTTGAAGTATATTATTCCATCAATTCGGTTTGAATTGGACTTTTATAGGATATTATGCAGAGTCTTCTGCTTTGGTGAAATACTTCCAGTAGTAAGAGATTTCTGTTCTCTGTCATTTGTATCTGGTATGTTTTGTTCCACCTCCCTCGCTGCTAACTTACTGGAGAGCAGAGAAGGGAACAACTCTATGGCATATTCATTTGGATGCACTGATGAAATGAAGAGCTGATACACACAGAGGGGAAAGCAGCTCTGACACCTTCTCCCTCTGCTCATCTCGCTCTTCTGTGGACAACATTGCCCCCTGGTGAATATGCACTGGTTGTCAAAGGCTTGTATTCAAACTGTGGGATTGCTTTTTGCCTGCTGTATGTCCCACTGCATTACCCCACCCTATCCTGCTGCACTCTTATCACAGACTGTATGTTGAGAGAGAAATAAATATTTTATGCTTGATAGCATGTCTCGTTGTTATTTGCATTTTTAGTGTCTTCCGTGTATTTCATAAATAATTTGTTTACTTTTTGTAAGTAGCATGGAGTAAGAGTTTTCATTTTTATTATTTAAATTTGTAAATTTATAAATACTCAGAATTATATTATTATATTTTTACGACGGACAGGAAGTGTTTCTGTGAGGCTCGAGTTTTCACACCGTCGACGTCTTTGAACAGACGCCACAGATTCGCAACATACAGTACAAACCCTGGCAATGAAAATAAACACTTTAACAAACCCTTTAAAGAGATTAATTATATTACAAAATCTCGCTCAATATGTTCTAACAGGCTACAGTCAGGAAAGAAAGTGGAGAAATAAGACCCCGCTTTGTGTGGCGAATCTGTCGATCCGCATCTGTCGTAGCGTTACAGTAATGGTTGCCCCTTTTGTTCAACCGAGTTCCTGAATTATTCCCAACACAATGAAATTCTTTGGCTATTATATGGTTTCATGAAAACATTTTTTCTGTACCTACGCCTCTTCTGAGCTCTGCTGGGATTATTTAATGAATTAAAAATCAATCTACAACAACCGCTGTGAGCTGCTGTGAGGTTTCCGAAGCACGCAGGTCTCGAGGAACGTGGAGTAGTAAGTGTTTATAACGTTAGATCAGAAGTATTAGCTTTAAATGGCGAAAAGGGCCATGTTTGGCTAAAAAAAGATCACACTAGATGACTGTGTGTGTATTTTTACAGTAATTGGTGTTATCCATAGTAACCCACCGTACTCCGACAACATGAACAGACCTTGGTGTTAGCCCTACTGCGGAAAAAAATAATCATGTCTGGCTGTTTCTCGTCACAGAGAAAACGATTTCGCTGATATTTTGGCTTAAAGGAGGAGAAGGAACGCTTTTGATGGACCTTAGTTTGATAAAGCCTCCACACATGCTCTTCAGGAAGCCAGGCTGTCATTTTGCCTCAGAAATTCACAGGGTGAGGTCATTGTGGAGGGAAACACTGGGGTCTGAACGGCCAGGCTGTGGTGTGTATAGCCCCAAACATTCACGTGTGTTTTATTTGCTTTAATATTAACTATACTGGAATGCGCTGTAATGGTTTGATTTGCGAGGCTAGCGTTTGCCCAGGGGACACAACTACAGTTTGGCACTCTATTTAAATGTTACTGAGCTTGAATGAAATACCGAGCAAAGGTTACAATAAAAAATAAGAACAGTATCTAATAATAATGGCGACTAGCGTGGCTAGTTTGTAAGGTTACTTCATGTGCTGTAGGGTTATTCTCTTGAACTGTGCTTGTTTACGTAGTGGCCAGTGTTGTTGTTTGCTAGCTGCTGTTAGCCAGCAAGCTAACTGCAGCTTTGTTTTGGGGGGAATGCAGCAGCAAAATGCTAATGCTAACGTTAGCTGTGTTAAAATACACAAAGTTCATTTGTTAGCTTAGGAGGTAGAGGGTGGAAGGGTTCGAACGAGATAAAGGTTGAGTTCTTTCGTCAAGAACCGCAAATGAGCTCGGGTTTACAGCTGCCCAGCTGTAGCTGTTGCCGTTACTGTTTGCTGCTTGTATTACATGATTGTAGTTCTCAATGATCATAGCAAACACGCTGAGCTTAGTGCACCTGTTACTGAATAACAGATCATAATTTGTTTGCTACCATCAGTGGTCACGTGATTGCACCATAACAGGTGCATTTCGTTGGTGTCTGGGGCTCTTTAAGGCAACTCTTGGGAGACAAGTGCCCAGTATCTGTTATGTGCGTTGTTTTTAACAAATATCGTTGTTCCCTGTTGTGCTCATGTGTTTCAGATGTAAACTTGAACACCATCTGTCCCAGCAGTGGCTGTTGGCACAATGGGGCTGGACTTTGACGTGAAGACATTCTGCCACAACCTGCGGGCCACTAAGCCCCCTTATGAGTGTCCCGTGGAGACTTGCCGTAAGGTCTACAAGAGCTACAGCGGCATTGAGTATCACCTTTACCACTATGACCATGACAACCCAACTCCTGCCCAGGCTGTGCCTCAGAAGAAGAGGAAGGGACGTCCTCCTCGTGCCTCGCTGACTGGTTCAGGAGATACGGATGATGGTGGGGGTAACGGAGGAGGAGGACTGGGTCATGGAGGGAACACGCCTGTTAGCCCCAACCGATCAGAACGCTCCCATTCCCCGGGGAGAGAGACCATGACATACGCCCAGGCACAGCGCATGGTGGAGGTGGAGATTCAAGGGCGCATTCACCGCATTAGCATCTTCGAGAATATAGATGTGGTGTCAGATGAAGACAGTGATGCAGAAGACGCTCCTCCATCTGGAACTGGTAGTAGTGGTGGCGGCATGTGTAATGGTAGTGACGGTGGAGCCGGGGGCAGCGAGTTAGGAGGGAGTGGCAAGGACCGCTCAGATATCCCATCTTCTAATGGGGGAAAATCCACACCAAAGACTGGGAAACATAAGAGCAAAGCCAAGAAGAAGGATGGCTTATCTCATCATCACAGCGCTCAGTCTGGTCCTGCAGTCAAGCTACCGGAGGCTGTGTTCAGAGAACTCGACCAAGACCGACCTGATGCCCCACCTCGGCCATTATCATACTACAGGTCTGCAAATAAATGTAGTCTTTTAATTCATATATGTATTATAAGCAGGATTGTTGAGAGGACCATCCATTTTAAAGCAAAAGCAGTTGGTAGTGAGTTATTTGAGTGTATATATAAGTTATTAAATACAATAAATATTTCCTGACCTAAATGTTTGATACAGTCCAGCCAGTCCCCACTTTATTAGCAGGGAAATTACTGATTACTGTGCTTCAGATTCATACTTTTCCATCATTATTCTTGTCTTTACACTGAATTACAATTGGCACCATAATGAATTATATTTTTTTGCACGCTAAGTATTCTTTGCATGAATACGTCTTAATTTGACTCTTCTGTCTTTCTTTTTTACTCTAGGTACATTGATAAATCTGTGGAGGAGCTAGATGAGGAGGTAGAGTATGACATCGATGAGGAGGACTACATCTGGCTTGATATCATGAACGACAAGCGGCGGCGTGACGGTGTGACACCCATCCCTCAGGAGGTTTTTGAGTATCTCATGGACCGCTTAGAGAAGGAGTCATACTTTGAGAGTCACAATAAGGTACTTTAATCAGACAAAAGAGGGAGACGATGGTTCAAACTTGACATAAATGCTTTCATCTGTAATGTGTCCTTGTGCTCCTTTCTCTCAGGCGGACCCCAGTACCTTGATTGACGAAGATGCCGTCTGCTGCATCTGTAACGATGGAGAGTGTCAGAACAGCAACGTGATTTTGTTTTGCGACATGTGTAATTTGGCAGTACACCAGGAGTGCTATGGCGTTCCCTATATCCCGGAGGGCCAGTGGTTATGTCGCCGGTGCCTGCAGTCGCCGAGCAGAGCTGTGGATTGTGCTCTGTGCCCGAACAAAGGAGGTGCTTTCAAGCAGACAGACGACGCACGCTGGGCCCACGTAGTTTGCGCCCTCTGGATCCCAGAGGTAAATCCATATATGTTTGATTTGGAACGACATCACTATGCAGATATCGACAAACTGAATAAGCTCAACTCATCTGAGCCAGTTCACAGCCTTAGATCCTAGAAACTTAAATTTAAAGGTGCTCATGCTGTTTGCCATCAAAGCCCCTTGGCTTTAGAACAACCTGGCAGAGGAGATAAAGATTGTTTATCTGTGTTGCCTTTCCTTTTATATTTCAGCGATATTTACTATTATTAATTTACTGTCTATTGTAATTATTTTGTGCAACATCAGTCTGAGTTGACGTCAGTCTCGCTGTCATTTTTTAAACCCCCTATTTTAAAAGGGATATGTAAAAAAAAAGAAAGAAAAAAAGAAGAAGTTTATAATTATTATTGATATTACACAGTTAAAGACTGTGGGAATGTTAAACTTAACAGCCAGATAGATACTGTCTCAGTTGATGTACAGTGAAGCATGCTCAGTCAGTCTTGGGTTTTTATTTTTTATTTTTTTACTTTATAAACATCATCACAGTTAAATCAATTCTCCTGCCTTTCTGCAGGTCTGCTTTGCGAACACAGTCTTTCTGGAGCCGATCGATAGCATCGAGCACATCCCTCCAGCACGCTGGAAGCTCACCTGCTACATCTGCAAACAGCGTGGCTCGGGCGCCTGCATCCAGTGTCACAAAGCCAACTGTTACACAGCTTTCCATGTCACCTGTGCCCAGCAGGCAGGCCTCTATATGAAAATGGAGCCTGTAAGAGAGACTGGGGCCAACGGTACCTCTTTCAGCGTACGCAAGACGGCATACTGTGACATCCACACGCCCCCCGGTTCAGCACGTCCTTTAGGAGGAGTCGGTGGGGCCAGCATGGGGTCATCCAACAGCGAGGGCGAGCTGGAGGAAGATGACGAGCCTAGCATCGGCCATGATGATGACTCTAAGGGCTGGAGCTCTGAGCGGGTGAAGAGGGCAAAGGCCAAATCCAGGCTGAAGATGAAAAGAGCCAGAAAGATCTTAGCTGAGAGGAGAGCTGCTGCACCAGTGGTGTCAGTGCCCTGTATACCACCGCACAGGTAGGCCTGTACTTCACCTGCTCTGTCTGTGCCTCAAAGTCGTGCGCCCAGTAAGCACATATATGCCTTTTGCTGTTAATAGAAAACTGTCCATGCAGCAGTATGTTGGGCAAAACAAATAAAGAAATCATCACATACTTTTTTTCTTTCTCGTCTATTTATACTATTTAATTTTGGTATTGTAAGACAATAATTTATGTCACATTGCATTATTTTACTTATTAGAAATGATGATTGTACATTCTGTTTTGTTTCTGATTTAGACTGTAAATAATTTTAAATACCTTATCATTGTCTTTTGTGACATTTTGGTCTTAAAGGCTTTACCTTTGTTAGTGCGTTTGCAACATGCTTTACATTTACAACATGCTTAAGAGTTAAACAGTATTTGCTTCTCTGCAGGTTGAGCAAAA